TGTGTTTTTCAGTGTGTTTATGGCTGATGGTCACTCGTTGGCCTGAGAGGTGTCTTGTGTCCAAATTTGGTGCCAATTCGTCCAGTGGCTTTTGAGTTATGTTCATCCCACAAACATACATTACATTTTTATTTATATAGATACTAGCTGTCCCCTGCCACGCGTTGCTGTGGCCCAGTCTGTGTATATGTGTTTTGTGTGTGTATATATTTGTGTATATGTGTGCTTATGTACATGCATTGTAATATATTTTTTGGTTTTTTTGCTTTTTAAGTCCCTTACGCTATGTTTTTCAACATTTTTATGAGTGATGGTCACTCGTTGGCCTGAGAGGTGTCTTGTGTCCAAATTTGGTGTCAATTTGCTCAGTGGTTTTTGAGTTCTGTTCATCCCACAAACGAACATGACATTTTTATTTATGTAGATACTAACTGCCCCTGCCACGCGTTGCTGTGGCCCAGTCTGTGTATATGTGTTTTGTGTGTGTGTATATTTGTGTATATGTGTATTTGTGTGTATATATATGTGTGTGTGGTTTTGCGCATGCGTCATAATGTACTTTTTGTTTTCTGGCTATTTAAGTCTCTTCTGCTGTGTTTTCCAGTGTTTTTATGAGTGATGGTCACTCGTTGGCCTGAGAGGTGTCAACACCATAGGACCCTGGATGGAAGTTGATGTAGATCCATCTTAATAGGACGACTGACCACCGTAGTTTTATATATAGTGTTTTTAAAGTTGTTTTTGTCATTGTGATATATGATATTTTAATGAGTGTATATGTTTTTTTATGGCTGGAAACCGGGCTGAGTCCCTCAACGAGGTTGAGAAGCTCGGTATAGAAAACTGTGAAATAAATAAATAAATAAAATAAATAAATTGTGTCCAAATTTGGTGTCAATTTCACCGGTGTTTTTTGAGTTCTGTTCATCCCACAAACGAACATTACATTTTTATTTATTTACGATATTTGTATACAGTCCTTCTCAGCTCGCCCCCTCTCCCTAGGGAAACATCCACTCCAAGCTCTTCTTTCTCCTTTGGGGAGCACAGAATTTACTCTACGGATCCTAAAACCCGCTTGGAAGGAACAGAATTCCAACTTACACGTCTTCGAAGCTCCCCAGGTCCGACTCCCGCGGAGAATCTGGGCCAGCGGCTGTGGAGACACACAAAGCGCTTGAGTTGAAAACTGCATTGTCGAAGGCTCTCGTGGCCAGAATCACTGGGTGGTGGTTGTGGTGTGGCTTTCCGGGCTGTATGGACAATGTGTTCCAGCAGCGTTTCCTCTGGCACAGGCATGGGCATGCATTCATCCTCACTACCTCTGAGGATGCTTGCCATAGATGCAGGCGAAACGTCAGGAGAGAATGCCTCTAGAACATGGCCATATAGCCCGAAAAAACCTACAACAACCAATTCATTCATCCATCCCTGGGAATCCTGGCAGAGTCCCTGGCCTCCTTTGGCCAGTCTCTGCATGGGCCGGCATGGAGGCCAAGGGAGAAAGGGCCGAACGCGCGGCCAGGTTTCAAGGCTTTCTCACCCGATCATCTTGAGATCAAAGCTACGCTGATAGGAAGGGAAACCTCTCCAAGCCCTGGCTTATCTGCCTCGATAAGAAGGCCCGGGAGAAAAGGAAATCTAGTTTCTCCCCGTGATCGAGAGAGCGGCACTTCCCATTTAATTCCGGCCCTTGGCCTTTGACCGCTTGTGTCCATCCTTTGACCACTCTGCTACTT